TATAGGGTTGCCAGATGGTTTAACCAAAAATACCAAACACTCTCCGCCCCCCCCTAAAAAAAACAGCAAACAAACAGTGGGGGAGGGGCGGAATTCTATGGAGGGAAAAAAAAGGACTCCAAGAGTTATTAAGCAAAATAAATACATAAATAAATACATAAATAAAAAACCAGCATTAAAACAACACAGCCCCTTTCAGAATGCATGCAGAGTCAGAATAGAGATAGGAACAGGGGAGAAGTTGAGCACGAGGACCCAGGTAAGGCATTGCTTCCCCTTGGTCTTTAGGCTTTTTGCCAGCAGCCATTTTGTTTTCTTGATCAAGCCAGAACGCAGCTTCCCTGCGGAACCAGGTAAACAGGAGGTCCTGGGGTTGAGGGACTGGGGGTGTCGGAGGCCGAGCCCAGTTGCCAAGTGTGTCATAGGGTTGCCAGATGTCTGGTATTTTTGTCTCCTGGCCGGGCAAAAAGGCAGAAAATACGCAACATTTTAGGTGTCCGGTATTTTCTGAATTTTTTTACCGGACAGGAGGCAAAAATAAAGGACTGTCCGGGTCAATAACGGACAGCTGGCAACCCTAGTAAAGTGATAATAGTACTTGGTTCCTATACATTACTTCTTTAATCCAGGCTCAGAGGGTAGCCATGTTAGTCTGTAACTAAAAAAAACTTTAAAAATAACAATAGACTGTAGCACCTTGCAGACTAATCAAAATATATAAACAGTATCATGATTTTTCTTGGGCACAAACCTGAAGAAGTGGGTGGTGCCCACAAAATCTCATGATACTATTTATATATTTTGGTTAGTCTCTAAGGTACTACAGAACTATTTTTATCTTTCATCCAGCAACTGCAAAGTGGTGTGCAACATAAATCAATTAAACCTCTGACACCGTCTCTGTGATTTGCCAGCATGCCATTTTACCGATAGGTAAACTGAAGCAAGGAGGCTAAGTCCAAGGATCCAAGGTAGGTTAGTAACAGATAAAAATAGAACCCATATGATCGGAATCCAAACCCTTTGCACAACTATCATTCTTGTCTAAAGCTGAAAATAAACAAGCTCTATCATGTTTTCTTGTGAAAAATAAAACTCACTAGGAATTTGTACTTGTGACCTGTTTCCAGTGTATGGGTTAAGCCACTTTAATAGCAGATATAGCTGAGCTACTTTGGGAAGTTTATTTCTTGTTCTTCTTGTGTTTTGATTGTCGTATCCATTTTCAAATTGTCTAGCTTGGCAGTTCTGTAGCAGCCTCCTCAGCATCTTCAGTTGCTGACTCTGCTTTGTGCATTTATGAACAGACCAAGAGACTCATCTCATCTCAGTAACAAAAGTTCCTGTGGTTTGGCCCAAGTCTGACAGACCTTTGTTGCACATATGGTTAGCAATTTGAACACTACCACTGAATGCTGCTCCTTGTTTGGCATAAAACCATCAAAAAAGTAAAAGTGGATCAGAATTATTCCTAAATGACTGCTTTCCCCAAACTAAGATCATATATGGATGGCAAGTGTGCAATTGTTTTATCAAATGACACAACCCTCGTTCCCCATGGGATGTCTAAAACTGCTTTTTTTCGATTGAGTGAAATAGTTGAATGAGCTAATATAGAAGACACTGCTGAGATTGCAGAGTTTTAGAGCTTAAATTGTTATCATTCCAGATACTGATTAGGAGCCACTACGCTGCATGAACTAGCATGAAATAAGAAACAAAATGTTTGAGGCCTCTCAAGGGCATTTGATGAATCTAACTTTAATTTAAAAAGACTAATAGATTATTGATTTAAGCAGGATGACTGTACACAAATCAATAACAGGGTGCTCGGTTTCTATCTTACATGCTAAAAATGAATATTACAAAAAGGAATATAGTGGATTGTGTCTCCCTCTTTTTTATTAAGAAAAAAATTAAGCTTTGCTCTGAAGAGCTGGGAACCTGTAGGATTTTGCTTATAACTTTTTGATTTGGTAAAGTTAGTGTGAAATTCAGTATGGAACATGTGTGGCCAATACTTCAATCTTATATATATATATATATA